ATGGTCTCACTGACCACTGGGTACACTGGCTCTTGGATCTCTAAGGAGGTGCTAATTTAGCCTCTGCCTGAGGCTACCCAGCAGGAGCTATGGAGAGATTCTTCTTCTTTGTTTGGGGTTTGGAGGTGCCCAGCTGAGGCCCAGCTGTGAAGCAGTGCAAGCTGCTGTGTGGCCTTGGACCTTCTTTTGGATGTTCTGGGTCTTTCTGATTCAACTGCAGTTTGTTAGGTAATTTTCAGGGTGCAAAGGGCCATGCCTTTCATATGCAAAAGCATCTGCGCACAGCTCGGGTGGGGGCGGGGTCTCACGGGATCAACAGGGCAGAGCAAGAAGCTATGGCTGCTCCATGGTCCAACCCTAAGACGCCCCTAGTCTCAGTGTCCCGGTAATCACTGCCAGCACCACTGAGAGAAAGCCGCCCTCGAGTACTGCCTGATGCCAGACAGTCCAGTTTCTCCTTGTATGAGTCTGGGTCCCCAAAGACTCACCTGAAACTGGAGTTCAGAGCAGTCGGGAGCTTGAGACTCCCTCCCAGTTGAAAAAGACAACCGTGGCCTCAGTTTTCAGCTCTCTCCATGTGTGCCACATCCTCAGCTGCCAGCCCTCTCCATGTGCGCCTTGTCCTCAATTGCCAGCCGTTTCGGCGTGCGCCTCCATATCTCTGCACTTTACTTCTGCATCTCCTCTGAGTCTCAGTGTGCTTTTCTCTTTCCTTCTAGTTGTAGAATTTCCAAACAGCCAGCCTTCCTGTGGTTCTGGATGATGTCTGTTTTGTCTTTTAGTTGTATTTTTGAAGTGGTTATGCAAGGCAGCAATTTCCTGTGGTTACCTATGCCGCCATCTTGGTTTCTCCCAACCTTTCCTAATTCATTAGAATTCCTTCTATTTTTTTCTAATAATTATAATATTAGGGTGTGTGTGTTTTTTTGGTAGGGTACTTAGGCATTTCATGTATAAAATTACATGTCCTATAAATACAGATCATTGTACTTCTGTTCAAAGTCTTTGATATCTATTTCTTTTTCCTACCTAAAATCTCCTGTATAGTATTGGCAAGAGCAATATTCTTTGAGTTGCTCTTGGTATTAGGGAAAATACATATACATTTTTTCTCTCTAATCATTATTCTTGAACGGATTACATATATCCCTTTTTTCCCCCTAGTGACCTCTTCTAGCCTGCCCCTGACTCCCTCCCTAGGACTTCACAACCTGATTGCATTGTCCATGGGTCCATGGGTTATGCATAAATGCATGCAACTTCTTTGGTTTAGGTCTTCCCATCCACCCAAGAACCTTCCCCTGCCTTCCCTCTGAGGTTTGAGAGATTGTTTCTTGCTTCCATGTTTCTGAGTCTATTTTGTTCATCAGCTTATTTTGTTCATTAGACTCCACATATAAGTGAGATCATGTGATACTTATGTTTCTCTGACTGGCTTATGTTGCTCAGCATAATACTCTCCAGGTCCACCAATGCTGTTGCAAATGGTAAGAGTTCTTTCTTTTTTATAGCTGAATAGTATTCCATTGTGTAAATGTACCATGGCTTTTTTATCCACTTATTTACTGATGGGCACATGGGTAGTTTCCAAATCTTAGCTATTGTAAATTGTGCTTCTATGAACATGGGGATGCATATATTCTTTTTGATTGGTGTTTCTGATTTCTTAGGATATATATGTGTAAGTGGGATCACTAGTTCAAATGCGAGTTCCTTTGGTTTTTTTTTTTTGAGGAAACTCCATACTGTTTTCCACAGTGGCTGCACCAGTCTGCATTCCCACCAGCAGTGTACTAGGGTTCCCTTTTTTCCACATCCTTGCCAACACTTGTCTTTTGTTGATTTGTTGATGATATCCATTCTTGAGAGGTGTGAGGTGATATCTCATGGTCGTTTTGATTTGCATCTCTCGGATAATTAGTGACTTTGAACATTTTTTCATATGTCTCTTGGCCATCTGAATGCCCACTTTGAAGAAGTGTCTATTAGGTCCTTCGCTTGCTTTTTAATTGGATTGTTTGTCTTTTTAAATTAAGTTGTATGAGTTCCTTATATAGTTTGGATATTAATTCCTTATCAGATGTTCTTGGGCAAATATGTTCTCCCATGCAGTGCTCTCTCTTTCATTTTGTTGGTTTCTTTTCCTATGGAGAAGCTTTTTATTTTGAGTAGTCCAATTTGTTTATATTTTTTCCTAGTTTCTTTTGCCCTCAGAGATGTATCGGTAAACATACTGCTATGAGAGCTGTCTGAGATTTAGCTGCTAGTGGTTTTTTCTAGGATTTTTATGGTTTCACATCTTACATTTATCTTTTGTCCATTTTGAGTTTATTCTTGCGTATGGTGTTAAGTTGGTGGTCTAGTTTCATTTCTTTGCATGTACCTGTCCAATTTCCCCAACACCATTTATTAAAGAGATTGTCTTGACTCCATCATATGCTCTTGCCTCTTTTGTCAAATATTAAATGAGCATAATGGCTTGGGTCAATTTCTGGGTTCTCTGTTCTATTGATCTATATGCCTGTTCTTGTGGCAGTACCAGGCAGTTTTGAGTACAGTGGCTTTATACAATAACTTGATATCTGGTATTGTGATTCCTCCAACTTTGTTCTTTTTATCAAGATTGCTGGGGCTATTCGGGGTCTGTTTTGGTTCCAGATAAATTTCTGGACTGTTTGTTCTAGATCTGTGAAATTTGCCACTGGTGTTTTAATAGGGATTGCATTGAATTTATACATTGCTTTGGGTAGTATGGACATTTAATGATGTTGATTCTACCAATCCATGAGCACGATATTTCTTCCATTTGTTTATATCTTCCACTATCTTTTTTTTCAATATCCTGTAGTTTTCCCAGTATATCTACCTTCTTGATAAGTTTATTACTGGGTGTCTTTTTTTTGTTGCTGTGATAAATGGGATTGGTTTATAAAAATGCCATCAATTTCTGAGTGTTAATTTTGTATCCTGACACCTTGCTTAATTTATTAAAACTGACAGTTTTTGGTGGAGTCTTTAGGGTTTTTTATGTACAATATCATGTCATCTGCGAACAATGAGTTTTACTTCCTCCTTTACCATTTGGATGCCTTTTCTTCCTTCTTCTTGTGTGATCACTATGGCTAGGACTTCCAGTACTATGCTGAACAAGGCTGGTGAAAGTGGGAATCCCTGTCTTGTTCCTGTTCTAAGGGGAAATGTTTTCAGTTTTTGACTAGTATGATGTTGGATATAGGTTTGTCATATATGGGCTTATTATGTTGAGGTATTATTCCTCTATTTTCATTTTGCTTAAAGATGTTATATTAAAAAAAGGGAGTTGGTTTTTTGTGGAATGTTTTTCTGCATCAATTGATATGATGATGTTAATTTTTTCTCATTTTTGGTGCTCTGTTGTTAGGTGCATATATGTTTATAATTCTTATATTTTCCTGATAGATTGATCCTCTAATTATAATAAAATACCCTAATTTTCTTTACTAACAATATTTTCTTAATTCTATTTTGTATCTACTTTCTCTATTTTGATTACTGTTTTCACTGGTATGCTAGTACGTTTTTTCTAACTTTTACTTGCAAACATTTTGTCTTTGATCAAAATTGTGTCTTGTAGATAGCATATAGGAAGGTTTATATTTTGCAAAACAATATTTTTATTGATTTCAGAGAGGAAGGGAAAAGGAGGGAGAGATACAAATAGCAATGATGAGAATCATTGATCAGCTGCCTCCTGCACGCCCCACACAGGGGATCAAGCTCGCAACCTGGGCATATGCCCTGACCAGGAATCAAACCGTAACCTCCTGGTTGACAGGTCACTGCTCAACCACTGAGCCCAGGCAGGTTTGCATTTTTAAAATCTGTTTCATAAAACTTTTCCTTTGGATTTTAAAAAATTTATGTCTAATGTAATTACTGGTACGGTAGGACTGATGCATGTTGTTTTTTATTTGCTTTCAATGTGTCATGTCTTTTTCTTTCTCTGTTCTTCTATAAATTGCCTTCTTTTGTGGTGAATTTTTTTGTTCCATTTTAATTCTATTGTTTCTTTTACTGTGTTTTTTGAGTTATTTATTTCATGGTTGCTTTGGTATTTAAATTAACATCTTACCTTAAAAGTGACTTTAGCCTGGCCTGCATGGCCTGGTAGTTGACCGTAGACCTATGAACCAGGAGGTCACAGTTTGATTCCTGGTCAGGACACATGTCCACTTTCACCACTCTTTTATTATTTTTTAATATATTCTTATTGATTTCAGAGAGGAAGGATCAGGGAGAGAGATGGAAACATCAATGATGAGACAGAATCATTGATTGCCTCTTGCACACCCCACACTGGGATTGAGCCCGCAACCTAAGCATGTCCCCTGACCAAGAATCGAACCGTGACCTCCTTGTTTATAGGTTGACGTCAACCACTGAGCAACGCCGGTTGGGCCTGCTTTCACCACTCTTATTCAACATACTACTGAAAGTCCTAGCCACAGTGATCAGACAAGAAGAAATAAAAAGGCATCCAAATTGGAGAGGAGGAAGTAAAACCCATTTTTCACAGATGACATGATATTGTACATAGAAAACCCTAAAGGCTCCACAAAAATACTACCAGATATAATAAATGAGTTTGGCAATGTAGCAGGATACAAATTCAACACCCCAAAATTGATGGCTTTTTTATACACCACTAATGACTTATCACAAAGAGAAACTAAACAAACAATCCCATTTACCATTGCAACAAACAAATTAAGATTATTAGGAATAAGCTTAACCAAGGAGGCAAAGGACCTATACTTGAAAACCTATAGGATGTTGAAAAAAGAGATAGAATAAAATATAAACAAGTGGAGGAATATACCGTCTTCATGGATTGGTAGCATCAACATCATTAAAATGTCCATACTACCCAAGTTAACCCATAGATTCAATGCAATCCCATTAAAATACCAACAGCATATTTCACAGATCTAGAACACACACTCCAAAAATTTATATGGAATCAAACAAGACCCTGAATAGCTGTAGCAATCTTAAGAAAAACAAAGTTGGAGGAATCACAATACCAGATTTGAAGTTATATTACAAAGCCACCATAATCAAAACGGCTTGGTATTGGCACAAAAACAGGAATATAGATCAATGGAACAGAACAGAGACCCCATAAATCCACCCAAGGCATTACACTCAATATTTGACAAAGGAGGCAAGAGCATACAATGGAGTCAACACAATCTCTTCAATAAATGGGGTGGCAAAATTTGGACAAATATATGCAAAAAAATGAAACTAGACCACCAACTTACACCATACACAAGAATAAACTCAAAATGGACAAAATACTTAAATGTAATTTGTGAAACCATAAAAATCCTAGAAGAAACCATAGGCAGTGAAATCTCAGACATCTCTTGCAGCAGCATTTTTATGGATAAATTTCCTAGGGCAAAGGAAACTAAGGAGAAAATAAATGTTACTACATCAAAATAAAAAAAAACTTCTGCACAGCAAAAGAACCCATCAACAAAATAAAAAGGAACTCAATGTATGGGAGAACATATTTGCAAATGTTACCACTGATAAGGGTTTAATCTCCAACATTTACAGGAAACTCATACAACTTAACAAAAAGAAGAAAATCCAATTAAAAAATGGACAAAGAACTTAAATAGACACTTCTCCAAAGTGGACATATAGATGGTCCAGAGACATATGAAAAAAGGCTCAAAGTCACTGATAATCAGAGAGATGCAAATCAAAATGACAATGAGTTATCACTTCACACCTTTCAGAATGGCTACCATCAACAAATAAACAAATGACAAGTGCTGGCGAGGATGTGGAGAAAAGGGAACCCTAGTACACTGCTGGTGGGAATGCAGACTGCTGCAGCCATTATGGAAAAACAGTATAGTTTCCTGAAGAAATTGAAAATGGAACTCCCATTTGACCCAGTGATCTGACTTGTAGGAATAAATCCTAAGAAACTCAAAACACAATCAGAAGGAATATATGCATCCCTATGTTCATAGCAGCACAATTTACAATAGCCAAGATCTGGAAACAGTCCCAGTGCCCATCAATAGATGAGTGGATAAAAAGCTATGGTACATTTATACCACGGAATACTATGCAGCAGTAAAAGAAGAATCTATTACCCTTTGAGATAGCATGGAGGGACTTGGAAAGTATCATGCTAAGTGAAATAAGTCAGAGAGAGAAGTATCACATGATCTCACTTATATGTGGAATCTAAGTAACAAAATTAACTGATGAATGGTGTGAATCCACAAGTGCAAAGTCTCGGAGGCAAGCGGGGGGAGGGTGCATGGGTGGGAAGTAATCAGCAAAGAACCTTGTTGTATATGCATGGCCCATGGCTGCAGACAATGGGGTGGTGAGGACCAGGCTGGAGGGAGTCAATGGGGGTGGGGAGGAAGGGGACATATGTAATACTTTCCAAAAGCATTATTTTTATTAAAAAAAAGTTATTTTGAGCAAAGAGAGAGGACCCAAATAAACAAAAT